AAAAAAAAAAAATTAAACAAAAAAAAGAGCATTCTAAAATGGCTATGTATATCTTACCTAATAAATGTGGGGGTGGGGGTGGGGTGGCGAGTAGGAAGCAACAGTTAGAATGCTGGATTATAACTGGAAATTGTATTAAGCTTTCAGAGGGTTTAGTTTTCTTCTGAGATGATTTGACTGTGATGATTGGTAGTATTTATCTCCTCCTCAGGTATTGCCAATACCCTGGATCTCACGGACAGAATTCTGCCGAGGCTTCAAGCTAGAGAAAAATGTAAGCCTCGGCTGTTGAACTTCCCACCTTATACCAAAAATCAGATAGCCACTATCTTGCAGGATCGGCTTGATCTGGTAAGTGCCACCCATTGTACCACATTATGTGTCCCTTGGATCACCTCTGGTGGGGAAACCTAACAGTCCTTCTAAAATATTTTTGCGTAGAGAGGTGCCTGGGTGGCTCAGTCAATTGAGCATCTGACTCTTGCTCTCAGCTCAGGTCTCAATTTTAGGGTTGTGAGTTCATGCACCACTTTGGGCTCCACACTGGGCATAGAGCCTACTTTAAAAAAAATTTTTTTTTTTTTTTGCTTAGATTGCTTTCCTCAGCAGGGAGTTCTTATGGGCCATCGTGAGAACATTTTTATATGAATTTCCACCCAAGGCTCCATTTATTGGATGCCTCAGTGTTGGAATAAAAACAAGAGAGGAGGGGCACCTGGGTGGCTCAGTCACTTAAGCACCCCACTCGATTTCAGCTCAGGTCTTGATCTCAGAGTTGTGAGTTCAAGCCCCACAGTGGGCTCCACGATGGGCAGAGAGCCTACTTTTAAAAGGGGAGGGGTGGCATCTGGGTGGCTCAGTCGGTTAAGCCTCTGACTCTTGATTTTGGCTCAGGTCACCATCTCAGGTTCTTTTTTCTTTTTTTTTTTTTAAGTTTATTTTTAGTAATCTCTACACCCAATGTGGGGCTTAAGCTCACAACCCCAAGATCAAGAGTCGCACAGTCTTCCGACTGCACAGGCCAGGCACCCCTCAATACTATTATAATGGCCTGTAACAATAGGGCCTGCGAAAAAACTTTCTTTTGAAAATGACCAAAGAAATTTTAGTTTAGTTTAGTTTTGCTGATTTCTGGTTTCCTTTTTTTCCACTACTCATGAGCCTCTACCACATGCCTACAAAATGTTTAATTGTGTGAAATTTCCATTTATTTATGAACAGAAAAGGCATCTCTTAGACCCTAAGGGGAGGCCAGTCAAATTTAAACTTAATGTGAAAATATTTATGTCTGGGACCTAAATTACAGAGAGGGAGAATCTTATAGTTCATGCTGTCATCTCCTTTGTCTTGTCCAAAGGTATCTAGAGCTCAGGTTCTGGACAATGCTGCAATTCAGTTCTGTGCCCGAAAAGTCTCTGCTCTTTCAGGAGATGTTCGAAAAGCGCTAGATGTTTGCAGGTGAGTTATGGCACTGTTGGCTGCTTTTATTAAAAAAAGAAATGCTGTTAATTGTCTCGTGTAACTCAAGTGAATATGGCTTAAGAGGCTGTATTCTGCCACTTTTTACACTCGGAAAGGGGGACTTGTTTCTCAGTGGGGAGCTCTGCATTTCCACCGTGTTAATGTCTGAAACATTATCAGTCCATTACCTACAGAGGGAGAAACAAATGAGATGTTGCTGGCACTCCCTGTGGTGATTATAGATTGGTTAATTACATTTGTATTAAAAAAGACTCCAGTTTACTTTTCCATTAGCTGGTCTCAAGCAGGTTTATTTATGGACCTGAACCATCTTTGCCTTTAGACTTTTTTTCCTTCCTTTGCTTTTGTGAGCACCCCTTCCTCCGGTTGGTGGTCTCCCACACTTGTACTCCAGACCTCTCTCTCCCTTCCCATCCTCTGCCCCTCCTGCTGGGGAAAGCCTCTGTGCTGACGGATGAAATTTCTTCCTTCCCAGTAGGGACACTGGGTCCATTAAAATGATACTTGCTGTGCTGGCCCACTGGTCCAACCTCCCCCTACTGCCATGCAAAAGATCCAGGTCTGGCTTATGGCTTCCTGTGGGCAAAGTGCTTTGGAGACAGCAGTGGGAGAGTAAGCTCTTCCTATTGCTAGATGGCATGATCCTGGATTTGAAAGTTTCCCCTAGTCAGCAAACTACTTGAGTAAAGACTGCAGCTATGAGCAATAGTCATGTAGGCTGGTGTGGTTTAGCCTACACATAGCATATGTATATAGAACTGAGGACTCCCCTTTTAGGTCCAATGTGTATGGGTGGTACTGGGTCTCTGTAGGCAGTCACCCGCCCACATAGCCTCTCTGCTATCCATGACATTTTTTCCTCCTTCAAAATGTTATTATTGGCTTAATGTATGATGACCTACTTGGCATCTATAAGAGGAAACCATATCGTGTTGAAAGTTTCTCAGATTCCCTGGTCCATGAATTATTTCAAGCTAACTTAATCCCCTTTAGCTGAGACATAACCCAGTTTTGTTTGGGGGGTTTAAAATTATAAAACATGTGTCTGTTTTTGAGCTTGGTGGTTTGGTGTGGTGTTTGGTTTGGCTCAGCCTAAATTAATTTTAGAAATTTTTTTTTATAGGAGAGCTATTGAAATTGTAGAGTCGGATGTCAAAAGCCAGACTGTCCTCAAACCGCTGTCTGAATGTAAGTAGTTTATCTCTTTCCCGTCTTCCTTTATAATTGGAAGCTTAACTTTTCTGGGGAAAGAGGTAGAAAGATGAAATGAACATAGTTAAATCCATACTTACCCTTTCCTGTATGTCTGTGTTTTTTGTCCATTTCATCTACTTTACTTCAATCTGGCCTGTCTGTGCTATAGTCCATGCATTGCTGGAAACAAGTTCCCCAGGGTGTTACATAAAAGGCTGGATCATAGTAAGTTTTCTTTCTAAGCTCTAGAAATGAAAATTGTGGATGGTAAGGCTTGATCAGCTTCTCTCTGCGTTCTTCTGTTGAGTTAACTTTAGGTCTTGATATAGGTGAGAGGAAAGTTAAGTAAGAGTCAGACAGTGAAAGAATCCAGTTCAACTTGGGGTATCTCAAGCCTTTAGACAAGTCTAGGAGGGTGGAGGTACAAAGATGATATTGCTATAGTAGGCTGTTAGAAAAAGGACAAAATTATTTTCCTTTCCGTTAGCCTTGTTCTCTTAGTCATGGCAGATGTAAAATGGCCATGAACTACATATCTTGTCAGTATTTAATATCCAGTGTTAATCTTTAGAAACAGAACAGTCTGATTTGATTGTTTCTTTCCTCTTTCACTCCTGCACTGGTTGAGATTATCAAAATTGTTTCTAGCACTACAGTTCCACAGAAAACAGTTTCTTTCTTTCTTTCTTTCTTTCTTTCTTTCTTTCTTTCTTTCTTTCTTTCTTTTCTTTCTCTGTCTTTCTGTCTGTCTTTCTCTTTCTCCCCCTCCCTCCCTCCCTTCCTATCTTTCTTTCTTTCTCTCTCTCTCTCTCTCATCAATTTGTTGAAAGAAAATTAATAAAAATATTTCAGAAGAAGGGGCACCTGGGTGGCTCAGTCATTAAGCGTCTGCCTTCGGCTCAGGTCATGATCCCAGGGTCCTGGGATCGAATCTTGCATCGGGTTCCCTGCTCAGCGGGGAGCCTGCTTCTCCCTCTCCCCCTGCTTGTGTTCCTTCTCTCGCTGTGTCTCTCTCTGTCGAATAAATTAAAAAAATCTAAAAAAAAAAATCATGTAAAAATATTTCAGAAGTAGCCAAACTGCTTAGGCCGACAGTAGGTAATATATACCAATGCATAGATTAGATACTGGTTTCTCTTTAACTTTTCAGATTATTCCTTTTTCTCCTACCAACGACATTTAGGCTTGTCATTGTCCCTGTGAGCACCACTGGCACACATAGCTAAAGGAGTTTGTAAGTTTCTGGCATAAGTTATTAGACTAACCTAATTCCTGTCTTTTGACCTCTGGTATGTGTGATTAGTTTTTGATGGTTCTGGAAAGCTATATGGAGGCTGACTTCAATTAAATATAAGAAGGCACTTTTTTTTTTTTAAGAGAAGGGAAGAGAGGGAGTCCTCAAGTGGGGAGGGGCAGAGGAAGAGAGAGAGAGAGAGAAGCTTAAGCAGGCTCCACACTGCGGGGCTTGATCTCACGACCCTGAGCCAAAATCAAGAGTCAACGCTTAACTGACTGAGCCCCCCAGGCACCCCAGGATGGCACTTTCTAATAAATAGCACTAACTGGGCTTCTGTAACACATAGGTGGGTTCATTAGCTTTGAAGATGTTCAAACAAAAGCTGGATAGATGATCACTAGTTGGGATTGTTTTGGGTAGGGAGCAAGAAGAGAACTCCAGATTCCTTCCAACTTTAAGATTCTGCTACTTGATCAGTGATGTCTAGTTTTCCCGCTACCGTTAGTTCTTTGCAGCATCCCGGTTATGGTCATAAAATAGAAGCAGATTGCTTTGGGGCAACTGCACATGGTCTAAGGAAGTAATTTAGGCAAAGGTTGTTACAGAGCAAATCCCTCCTCTGTCTTGCAATTCATGCATCTCCAAACAATGAGGCCACAGGGCGCCTGGGTGGCTCAGTTGGTTAAGCGACTGCCTTCGGCTCAGGTCATGATCCTGGAGTCCCGGGATCGAGTCCCGCATCGGGCTCCCTG